ATATATATATATATTATATACATATATGAGTATATACATGTACAGACATATTTGTATATTCATCTATACGCATTTATGCGTAATATATAGAGTAATATATAGAGACATATAACAGCAATATATAAGATATATATATAAATACATATATATTTATATATATATATATATATTTATATATATATTATATGCCTTTAGGCAGATTCGTAGATGCAGAGTATAAAATGAATTGATGTCTATGCATCAATACACCACTTAATATAATCAATAAACATAATTATATTATACAAACAATATATATTATATATAAGCATTATACAACAATTATACATACATACATACATACATATATATATATATGTATATGAATACATATGTATATGTATATATGCATATATATAGATATGCATGCATATCTATAGTTTGTCTTCTTTATAATATTATCTATTTTTTTTGCTTTCTTCTGCAATATATATCTCCTCTTCTTTTAATTACTTTAAAGTTTAGCACGAGCGTCTCTTGTGAATTGTAATTAAGCAGCAAGAACCCCTCTGCTGCTGCTGCTGCTGCTGCTGCATTTATTTCCTGCTGCTGCTGTTGCTGCTGCATTTCCTCGCATCTCCAAGAGCAAGAGTTGTCTTCGTATATGTGCTTGAAGTGTTTTAATATTTTTGAGGTGTATGCTGAGGTGCTGTTTAATTGTTTTTCTTTTATAGATAGCTTCGAGTGTACGTACAAGGGGTTTTAAACTGCTTAGATTGCTCCGCTGTATAGACAGCAAACGCTGCTGTGTTTCTCTTGTTAGAAATATCATTGTCTTTCCTTTATAATAATCTCGGGTGTCTGTACATCCAACTGCATGCAATAAATGCAGAGCTGCTTCTTCTTCATTTTGATTTAAAATATCAAAAGCAAACAAACACACAAATCGATATTCACGCACAAAATCACCAAAAGGCCTCCTGAAATACAAACAACAAACCTTAAACCCTAAACCCTAAACCCTAAACCCTGAACCCTAAACCCTAAACCCTAAACCCTAAACCCTAAACCCTAAACCCTATGCCGTAAACTATTAACTTTGAATTCTAAACAATAAGGTTTATACCCTAAACCCCAAAACCCTGAATTTTAAACCCTCAACCGTGAAATAAGAACTATAAACCATCAATTCTAAACCCTAAACCCTAAACCCTAAACCCTAGAACCCTAAACCCTATCCTCTCACTTGTAACCCTTAAACCCTAAACCCTAAACCCTAAATCCTAAACCCTAAGGGTTTACCTGTAGGGATATCCGATATTTCTGAGTTGAATAGCTTCCATGATGGAGAGAGATTTGATTTGAGGTAAAATTGTCTGAGATAGAAAATGTTTAGCTTTTTTAACTTCATTTGGTTTAATGCAGCGAACGAAGTGAGATTCAGTAGCCTGCAATAATAAAAATAAAATAAATAAACAGTACAATTATCAATTATAACAAAAGTGTAGTTTAAACGCCCTCCATATCATCCATACATACTTACAAATGCATGCAAATGCATGCAAATGCATGCAATTACTATCATATTCTACATAATAATAGTAATGTTTATTTCCATTGCATGTATGCATGCAATCGAAATAAACATAACTATTATTCTTCTTCTTCATTTTAAAAGAAGAAGAATAATAATGATGTTTATTGCTGAATATCAAATGAAGACGCTGCATGCGTTGAAAACATCCTGCTTCTCTTGCAAACAAATGCATGCATGAATACAAATGCATGCATTTGCATGCAAACGCATGCATTTGCATGCAAACGCATGCAAACATACTTGCAAATGCATACAAATGAATACATACAAACAAATACATACAAATGAATGCATACATACAAATGCATGCATACAAATGCATGCAAATGCATGCATAGAAATGCATCCATACAAATGCATGCAACTGCATGCATAAAGAGATCAAATAAAGAGTAGAAGCGTTTGATATTACCTGTATATTCTGCATTAATGTTTGAAGCTGCTGCAGAAACTGCGATGAAATTAATAATCCTTTCATTAGCTTCCCTCGACACACCTCTACGCCTTGGTAAAGTTGAGAAGCAACTGAAGAAATGCAAAAATCAATAATAAATTAATCTTTTAAACAAATATATATATATATACATACATATACATATCTATATATATATATATATATATAAACAAGTATACATAAAAATATATTCATATATATATATATAAGTAAATATATGTAGCATAGAAACATCTACCAACAGCAACACCACCAGCACCAACAGCAGCAGCAACACGCACAGCAGCAGCATCAACAGCAGCAGCAGCATCACCAAGAGCAGCAGCAGCAGCATCAACAGCAGCAGCAGCAGCAGCACCAACAGCAGCAGCATCGCCAACAGCAGCAGCAGCAGCACCAACAGCAGCAGCAGCAGCACCAACAGCAGCAGCAGCCACAGCAGCAGCACCAACAGCAGCAGCAGCCACAGCAGCAGCATCATCATGAAGATGATGATACTACCTGAATTATGTGAAGCATTAAGCATATCAACAAACTCTGCTCTTAATTGGTCTTTATTCTTTTCAATAAAATTATCAGTAGAATAACAAACACTGCCAATGCAGTGATAAATTGTAAAGCTGCGGTCGGACTCTGTCTTTTCTCCTCCTTTATTACCCGACTCTGCAAATAATAATATACAAATGTTATTATTATAATTATTCATATTTAAACATATAAATACATGTATATACATATATATATATATATTATTTAGTAATGAATATTAATGCTTCAATAAAAATACAATTATATATGTATATATATGTATATTATAAATATATAAAGAGATATATATATGAGTATATATATGCATGCATGCATAGACCCCTCAGCTATATGCTCATCTTTTTTCGCTGTTTGTTTGGGGATACCTTTGAGGCGTACATACACCTTGGTTCAATTCTCTAACAACAAGCTTATTAATAAACAACTCGAACAAAACCCTAAACCCTAAACCCTAAACCCTAAACCCTAAACCCTTGAACGACAAAATCTTTAAAAATATGAAGTGATTAAAAAACCAAATAAATAAAATCCCTCACACCCCAACTCTAAAAGTAAATAAACACACATAATAATTGTTATTAGAATAATAATAATAATAATAATAATAATAATAATAATAATAATAATATCAGCAGCAACAGCACCTGCAACAGCAGCAGCAACAGCACCTGCAACAGCAGCATCAGCAGCAACCACCTCAGCAGCATCAGCAACAGCAGCATCAGCAACAGCAGCATCAGCATCAGCATCAGCAGCATCAGCATCAGCAGCAACAGCATCAGCAGCAACAGCATCAGCAGCAACAGCATCAGCAGCAACAGCATCAGCAGCAACAACAACAGCAGCAACAACAGCAGCAGCAGGGAGAGGAGCATGACATAGCTGTTTATTGATTACTCTTGATTAGAGCTTTGGCTGCAGCAGTAAAAGCTGCATCCGTTGTTGCAGGAGTAAGACAGCAATCATCTAAAATGCTTAAAATAGAATTGTTTTTGTCTGCAATTAGAGGGGCAACAGACAAAGGAGCAGCAAACTCGAGTAGCTCTGCTGTTATTCCTTCGCTTGCGTACAGCTCAGACTCCTAAATGCATGCAAATCGAACAAAACAACAACAAACACAAACAAACCAATAATAATATATGCTGCATTCTCTTTCCTATCAACGGTTTAGGGTTCAGGGTTTAGGGTTTAGGGTTTAGGGTTTGTTGTTGTATCGCGATTTAGGGTGTATACCCATATATGATATTAGTCTGCATGCAGCTTCATTCCTTTTTAGGGTTTATTGTTGGAGATTTATTATTTAGGAGTTTGAAGGGTCTATACAGACATAAAGGTTCAATTTAGGGTTTAGGGTTTAGGGTTTAGTTCTTTTAGAGGTTAAGAAGGGTTTATGGAGTTAGGTGGAGGATTCCAGAAGTTGAGGGTTTAGGGTTTGACTTTATCGCATGCAGTAAAAGGCTTCATAATAGATTTAAAAGAGTTAAAGGATTATAAGAAAGGGTTTGGAGGGGTTTTAAAGTGTTTAAGAGGGTTTGTGAGGGTTTCGTCAATGTTTATTAGGGTTTATTAGGGTTTATTAGGGTTTATTGAGGTTTAATAGTGTTGTGCAAGGGTTCTAGTAATGTTTAATATCATTGATGCTCTAAAGGGTTTAGAAGGGTTTAAAGGGGTTTAAAACAATAAAAAAGGGTTTATTAGGATTTATAAGGGTTTATATTGGTTTATAAGGGTTTACAAGGGTGTATAAGGGTTTATAAGCGTTTATGAGGGTTTATAAGGGTTTATTAGGATTTATAAGGGTTTAAAAGGGTTTATAAGGTTTTAAAAGGATTCGTAAGAGTTTATGAGGGTTTATATTGTTTTATTAGGGTTTAGAAGGGTTTATGAGGGTTTATTAGGGTTTATTAGGGTTTAGAAAGGTTTATAAGGGTTTAGAGGGATTTAAAAGGATTTAAAATGAGGGTTTAGGGTTTAAAAGGGTTTAAAAGGGTTTAAAAGAGTTAATATACCCTTGTGAAAACAACTTCAACGAATGTCTCTTGAAGAATTTCGTTGGTCAAATTTATGAATAACTGCTCCAAAGAATTTGTCTTAAATATTTCAAACCCAAATATATCTAATAACCCTAAAAATATAAACATTAAATAAATAAATAAATGTAAAATAAATAAAATATATAATTTAATATAACATCAATGATTAGAAATAACTATAGGTCAATAAATACAAATTAAATAAATAAACGGACAAATCAATAAAAATTGAATTAAATGAATAAACATATATATATATATATATATACGTATATACTTCCTAAACAACAATAAATGCTTATTGATATTTATATATCTATATATATATATTATATATATAAGCACAGGCATGCATAAAAGTAGCTTCGTTAGCGGGTGTTTGCTATAATCAAACGACAGTTTCTGTAACCTCAAACCCTAAACCCTATACCCTAAACCCTAAACCCTAAACCCTAAACCCTAAACCCTTATAATCTTGCATTGCCAGTATAACTCGTGCGTTTATATAACATGACAAATCTATTGTTTTGTTTACTTGTCAATTAATTTATTTATTTATTTATTTATTTATTTATTCTTTTAGACTGTCTGCGCACCGATGAAGCTACTCATGCCCTCAGGGCTTGAGATATTTTTGTTGATTTGTTTGACCGCCCAGTGGAAGAGACGCTCAAATATTCCTTTACATAAACTTTCTTTTAAAACTTCGCTTTGCTGCTGTCTCCATCTACCCTTTATTGATGTTGAACCAGCAACAGTTATACGCATTATTAACGCTTCCTCGAGCTCTGCAGCGTTTAAATATAATAAACTGCATGCAGTCTGAAAAAAAGTAAAAACACCATACACATCCATACACCCTACACCCTAAACCCTAATCCTCTTATTGTCAATGGCAGCCATTCAGCCCCACCTAGACTTCAAACCTTAAACCCTAAACCCTAAACCCTAAACCTTAAACACTAAACCCTAAATCCTATGTCATAAACCCAAAATCCTAGATACCAACCCCTAAACCCTATTCCGTGTACCCTATGCACTACACCCTAAATCGTATACCGTAATCCCTAAACCCTAAACCCTAAACCCTAAACCCTAAGCCGTGAATTGTGCGTGTATGAGTGTGTTTACTTGGAAGTCTTTTCTGTCTTCTTCGCAAATGACTGCAGCATCTGGAAGCCCCTCTACTTCTGTTTGATTGATGCGCACATTACCCAGCAGTAAAATACCCGAAAGAAGAGATAATACACTTTCAACTGTCTGTACACCTAAGCCCATGGAGTCAAACCCCTTTAATACTTCTAAGAAGTCTGCAGCATCATCCTGCGGTAGAAACAAGCAGGCAAAAAGCATATTTAGATTACATTATATATTTATTATTAAATATCTTTATTTATATCTTGTTGCTTTGCATTAAACAAACAAAAACTGATGAAATATATAACGGATAATATTTCTTATACCTTCTTGGGTATGTCAATGCACTGAGGATTCAAAAGCCTATACTCTTCGCATGTCTTTAAATGAAGTTTATTTCTTAATTCTCTTGAAGCCCCTTTAATTAATTGATAAAATATATGATATGATCTCTCATTTTCGCTCTGAACCACCACGCGAGACTTCTCCAGTAGAAAACACTGCACGTGCCCGCGTTCGATTCCTCCTCCTCGTGCTACCTGCACACAATATATATATATATATATATATATATATATATGCATGTATACATATGTAGATATATATGCGTATATAGATGTATATATATGCATATGTATATATATACATGTATCTATATATATATACGCGTTATGTATATATCAATGTTTATATGCGTACAAGTATGCATACATAGATAGAAGCATGCATACGTATGTATATATATAAATGTACATATAAATATACATATGTATATATGTATATGTATATTAAACATGTTAGTATATGTATATGTAGATATATATGTACATCTGTAAAAGAAAGTGAGAAGAACAGCAAAGAGAACAACTGCATCACTTGATGGGTAATTTGGGGCTTGCGTCTAGGGTTGAGGGTTTAGGGAATGTGGTTTGCTGTTTGTGGTTTAGGGTTTAGGCTTTAGGGTTTAAGGTAAAGGGATAAGCTCTTAGGCTTTCGGGCTTAGTGTTCCCGATTTAGGGTTTCGGGTGTACGATTTAGGGTTTAGGGTTTAGGGTTTAGAATTTCGAGTTTCGGGATTAGGCTTTAGGCTTTAGGGTTTAGGGTTTCAAGTTTCGAGTTTCGGGTTTAGGGTTTAGGGTTTAGGGTTTAGGGTTTAGGGTTTAGGGTTTTGCCTGGAGTTGAACGAATTTTCCGAATCTGCTTGAGTTATCGTTGAGTATTGTCTTTGCGTTTCCAAATGCTTCTAAGACGGGGTTGGCAGCCATGACAGAGGCTTCAATTCTTGTATCTTTTGCTGAAGACATCGCAAGAAATAAAGTGTGTTTTAAAACAAATATAATAAACATAAAGATAAAATATACGCGGGTTTCAACAAAAAATATTTTAACGATTAGTCAATCGTGAAAAATCAATTACAAGCATTTATCAATAAATCAAAGGATTCAAACAAAACCAGGAAACAATACAAACAAGTATTTTCTTTTTAGAAACCCAAACCCTAAACCCTAAACCCTAAACCCTAAACCCTTAATCTCTCATTTCAACTGCGCGTTAAACAACAATTGGCCATGAAAAGCATGCATTCCGCTAAACCCTAGACCCTAAACCCTAAACCCTAAACCCTAAACCCTAAACCCTGAAACCCTAAACCCTAATGATTTACGTTTTCCTGCAGCCTCAACTTCTCCTGAAGCTGTAGCCAAGTATCGCATGATTTGTTTAGTTGCTTCTGTCTTTCCAGCACCTGACTGCCCTGAAACAAGAATTGTTTGATTAATACCCGTAGCATTAATATTATCTACTGCTCTTCTTGCAATAGAAAAGATATGAGGAGGAAGCACACCAACATTCATAGCCTCGCTATATAATTTTATTTCTTCTTGTGTACAATTTTTTAAATCACAGAAAGGGTTTATAGATATTAGAAGAGGGTCTGCCCAGGTCTGAAAGAAAAATAAACAAAGACAACCAAAATAGACAAACTAATTTTTAAATTAAATGTGATATTAAAAACATACGCAGGAAATGCAGAAAACAAAACAATAAACACGCATCGACAAACATATATATATATATATTATATGAATATATATGTAGATATGTGCATATGAGAACACACAGATCAGTTGCTACATATATATATATTTATATAGATACAATATATATATATATATATGTCTTACGTAGACAACATCTTGCATATATCTCATTTTGAGGAGTTCAAGGACAGAGGCACTGTAAGCATGTATATATATAAACATATATATATAATATAGAGCTACATACTATATATATATATATATATATATATATATATATTTGTCTTACATAGACAACATCTTGCATATATCTCATTTTGAGGAGTTCAAGGACAGAGGCTGCATTGGGGTGTGCGAGGAGCCCCAAGTCGGAGACAGAGAGAGCGTCAGTATTTTCATTGCAGTGAAACAAATGGTTTAAACTAGCTACAAACTGAAGAAGAAAACAAACAAAACAAAGAAATAAACATGTTGTTTGCTTGGGTGTATGCATGCATTTGTGTGTGCATGCATACAATCGTAAAATATATACACAGTTTAAGGGATTCAATAAATATGTTCTCAGTTTATTAACCCTCAATAACTCTTTTAAACCCTTGTTATACCTTATGGGTCTCCTTTAACCCTCATAAACCCTAAACCCTAAACCCTAAACCCTAAACCCTAAAAACTAGACCCTACACGCAAAACACGAAACCCTTAATAGTACCCCTTAAAACCTCTAAACCCTAGCCCCTACACTTTTAACTTCAAACCCTAAACCCTAAACCCTAATCCATTTTCTTTAGCGGTTTTGTTGGTGCTTACTTCCCTTTCCGGAATTGCTATTTCTCTGAGTAAAACCCTTTGAATGTCGTTTGCATCTAAGACCAGACATTTTGCAAAGAGAACAGCAGAGTCCTCTAATACACTTGGGGCTGCATCGCACCAAACGTTCATACCCTGCGCATGCAAAAGAGAAAAAACAAAGAGAAAAAATTATTCAGCTTCTGCAAATACACATAGGGCGAGGTTCAGCGTAGCGGTTTCTGTTCAGAGCTTATGGTTTAGGCTTTAGGGTTTAGGGTGTACAGTTAACGGATTTGAGAGTATCGCATCTTGTTTAGAAATTAGGTTTTAGGGTTTACTGTTGAGAGTCTAGGGCGTAGCGTCTAGGGTGTGGAGTCTACTGCCTGCAGCTTAGGGTTTAGGGTTTAGGGTTTAGGGTTTACTCACCTGTACAAGCTCTTCTGGAGCTACACAAGGGTCGGGGTTTGCCCCCTTTTTTGTGCGTCCTAGAAAGGAAACCATTGGTCTGTTTGTATGTTTGTTTTGCTTTCTTTTCGGTCTTTAGATTCAGAAAAGTATGAATAAATGGGTTTTATAGGGCCGATAAATGAAGCAATTGAGCGGCCGCTTCCTTTTCAGGTGTATAGGCAGCTTTTAAAGCCGACTTTCCCTCGTTCAGAACCTGTATACCCCCACCGCCGCGGGTCTCACCTGAGACTATTTGCGAGGGCTAACCTCTTAATCTCGCAGAAATAAGGTAAAATATGAATTCACATTTGAATCCTTTTGATTATTTCAGCGAAATTTGTGGAAAAAATGCATTGAAATTGCAAACTTTGATGAAGACGATCAGCGTGCAGTCAATCTGTGCGCGCTGCTCTCTGTTGCTGATGCCTGTCTATCGCCTGGCTGCTTGTTGTATGCCTTCGTTCTTTTTTATTGTTTTAATAAATATTTTATTTATACTTTTAAATACAACAAAATAAATTAATCCATAAATTTGAATTTTTCGTCGAGTTTTCACCGAATTTATCTGCAATCTGCTGCATGCTGCACGCTGACGATGGTTCAGTGATCAGATTATGTCTAAGGGAAACGAATAAAGAAACATTGTCTTAATTAATCCGTTTGAAAAAGAATAATTATTTTGAGATGAAATAATAAATAAAATATACGTATTTAGATTTATATTTAAATTTAAATTTCTTCGTGAAAATAGAATGCTCAGGTTTTGTATCGTTCAGGTTGCCTCCGAGTGTTTTGCGGGTTTATTGTTGAAGTTCACCTTCAGAAATGCATTTAAATAAAATGTGTTGAAATTTAATGACAATTGCTATTATTATCTTTATTATTGCTTCCGTCCCTTCTTCTGGAATCATTCGTAGTAGTATTTCTACTACTGTTTTGGTTTAGTCGGCCGTGTACACTGTTCTCGCAATAGCATTTATTCCTGTTATCACTTAGGTAATTCATATGCTTTCTTTCTTCTACTATTTTCGCGTTTTGCTTTGTGCGGGCACTTACGGTGTATATCCACGACACAGCAGAGAATGCTGCGGTGTGCAGACACCGCGGCATTCTTCAAGGGAGTTCATCTTATCGCCAGAACCTCTTATGCATTTTCTACCCTTCAAAGAGCCTCAGGACACTATTCATGTAGACGGTTAGCTAGCTAGCTGGGTAGCTAGCTACCTAGCTATCTAGCTAGCTAAATAGATAGGTAGATAGATAAGTAGATAGATAGATAGGCAGCACTCAGCTAGCTGTCTAGCCAAGTCATTAAGTATTTAACTGCTTCATCATGCATATGTACCACAAGGATTAACAACTTGACTCAAATGAAGCTGCCGCAGCAACAGCTAAACCCTAAAGCCCTAAAACCCTAGACCCTGCTACAGCAGTACATGCAGCAGCACCAGCGGGTACTGCAACTGCATCTGCTGTTGCTGATGCGGCAACTGCAACAGCTTTTCTTTTGCTGCCCGCGAACCTCCAAAGTGTTATTTCTATTGTTAGTTTGGAGACAACACTGTCTCTACCACAATTACAACAGAAGATGCATGCATGCATGCATGCATGCTGTCACTTGCATGTGGAAATTCATTCTTTAGTTTTGCGTAAATTAGTTTCTTGTCTTTTACTAATAAAGACATTTCTTGAATATAGTGCTGTGCGTTATTGAGGTGTACGTGCAGCTGCCTTAATTATATTGCACGCCCCGCAATGCTGGACGCGAGGCCGAGACCACACAATGAAATCAAGGAGAAGAAAACGAAGCAACAAAGTTCATGCATGCATGCATGCATGTACTCCGTTGCTTATTTTGCATGCATGCATGCACGCATGCATGCACTTTGCTGCATGCAAAGTGGTCGGTGGGGCTGCATGCGTTTGCTGCGTGTCAGTAAGCTGTACGGACACTACCTACACAATAAAAGAGTATTAAATGCTTTGAATTATTATTATTAAATTTAATCTGAGACTCAACGCCTGCGTCGCGTGCACGCAGAACAAGTACATCAGCTGCAGTAGAGGGGCCGCTCTAGAGCGAACAGATGCCCTAGGGTTTAGGGTTTAGGGTTTGGGGTTTAGGGTTTAGGTTTTGATATTGCAGCCAGTAAACAGCATGCCGAGACGGATGTTTACAGTTCAGACCCAAGGCAACTAGGTGTGCAAAGCACACCGTACACAATAAACTGCGGCTAGCTAGCTAGCCAGCTAGCTAGGTAGCTAGCTGCCAGTATTCACTGTCACATTATATAAGGAAGCGGTAATGTTATTATGCGCTAAGTACGTTTGAGGGGGTCGTGAGTGCATAGAAAGAACCCACATTAATATTATCACAATTATATTGGCTTTATTTTTATAATTTTTTGTACTAATAGAAAGAACAATAGAAGTAAAACTAACATAATTAGGCTAATAATAAATATTGTTTTGATTTTTGTCGGCATTGTTATTATTATTCTTGCTATAGTTACTACTAGTATTATTGTTATTATTATTAATACGAATATTATCCTTCGTGGTATTATTATATCATTATTGCTAATAATATTTATTGTTATTATTATCAATATTATCATTACTGTTATCATTGCTATTATCATTACAATTATTATTACAATTATTATTGTTATTATTATTGTTTTTTTTGTATCAACTGCCTACAGCCTTCGTGCATGCAACAGAAAGGAGGTTATTTGTGGGGTTGTACTGTTTTTTATAATGAAAGAAATTGTTTTATCTCTCATTGATGCTGAAGCCCCTGCAACAACAAGTGCTGCAGCGAATTGAACAGAGCCTTCTGCCTCCTCTAACCACCATCATCACCCCCACTCTGTACAGGGTACCGGGAGAGTGGAGGGAAGGATAGGGGTTTATTGTTTATGTTATTCTGATTGGTGTAATATGAAAAGGTTGTCTTCATTATATTCAGAATAGCCTCTCATTGGTGCGTTCTTTACACAGTTTAGAACAGTTAATGAAATATATTTAGATATGATGGAACGAAAAGGGATAATATTAACGCATACATTGATAATTATTACTAGCAATGCCCCTGATGGTGATCAGCCTGTAGCACACACAATACTTAACTGCTGAATTATACTGTTATGAGTTTGCTCGGATTTTGTTCGTTTATATAAACAACAGCAATCTGTGTTGTTATATTAATCGCATTATAATCTTTTCTAACGAAAATAACTGTGAAGAGCTTTCCTTTTTTGCGGTGTATATATAGGGCCCCTCTTAACCTACCGGAAGCAACAAAGCCCCAGATGAAGCTGAGGTTGTAGAGGCGATCACTGAAGAAAAAGGGAAATGTTTGTCTATATTTGGCGAAAATAAAAAGAGGATTTACTTGAAATTAATTTATCCTCTTTAATTTCCTTTTTTGTGCTTCGTTCCTTCATATTCCTCCTCCTGTTCAGCTTTCCTGCAACCTTAACTCAACCCATACGAGGACGCTTTCTTGGCTGGTACGCGGAGTAGCGGCGTAAATTTTCTGTTATTTTCATTCATTTGACTTTTAAATGCAATATTTATTCATCTGAAGAAGACAGGAACGAATATTTGCCTCCTAACAGTAGCACTGCGCAGCGGTACTTCCTGCTCGCTGTTGACTACTTGAGGTGTATAGGCAGGTCGACGGTTCTGTTTCATCTTTTCCCTTTCTGTTCTTCTCTCTGTGTCATCTGTTCTTTCTCCTTCGCTTTTCATAACATTTAACAGAAGAATCGTTCCCACCGCCTCATTTCAGGTGTATAGACACATAATGGCGTGCGACTTCTGGCCCAGCGATACAAAGAAGCTAAAAGAACTTCAAGAAACAATTGATTTGCTGTTAGCAGAAGCAAAAACAAACACAGGAACATCAAGAGGGAAAAATGCTGCAATACTCCGCGGCCATGTGGCGCGAATGGCGCAGGTGAGACAGCATCTTTTATTTCTTTTTACTCTTTAGTTTGCGTCGTTTATATTTGATCTTCTGTTGATTTCTTTCTCTCGGTCTCTTTACTCTTTTCTTGTTTATCTCTGCATGCACACTTTCTGATTGTTGGGTTGAACGACTGTCTGTTTCGTGTTTGGTTTTTCTGCTGTTACTCTTTGCCTCCGCTTGTTGCTGTCTTGTGTTTTTTTGTTTCTTCTAGCATTTCATTTTTTATGTCTGTCTACTTTGTTGTTTTGTGGGCAAGATGATATTGAGTTTATGCTCTTATTTAGTTTTTTGCGGTGTCTGTTGAGCGTTGATTTACTCGTTGCATGCGAAGAGCCCCATTATTTTTATTGTTTTCTTCATTTGTATTATCATCCTCCTCGTTATTACTGTTTGTTTTTTATTTGTTTTTATTGCGTTTCTACGCCCAATCGTCTTTACCTCTGTTTCTTTTCCTGCTGCTGCTGCTGCTACATGTGCTGCTACTGCTGCTGCTGCTGCTGCTGCTGTTGTTCAGTCTCTGGTTCAGCTGGAGCATTCGCTGATGCAGACATCAGAGATGAGGGATTTATTTGGTGTTGATATGGCGGAGTTGCAGCGGCGTCAGAGCGTGCTGCAGCAACTTGAGCGAAAAAAAGAAGAACAAATTGAAGCATTTAGAATTCTCTTCTCTCACGACAACAGCCTGTCTGTACACCCCAACCAGCAGCAGCAGCAGCAGCAGCAAATGCAGCAACAGCTACAGATGAATACACAACAGTTTCAGTTCACAAATAATGCAAACCAACAATTCTTAGAAGACTATGGAGACAGCACAACTGCCTCTACACTTGTACGTACACCCCAAACCCCACACTCAGTTGCTGTTGTTTATATATATATATATATATATATATATATATATATGTATATATATATACGAACGTATAGTTATTTACATATATATGCACTTGTACATACATATATGTAAATGTATGTACAAATATATTATTATATAAATATATGTTATTTATCTCTACATATGTGGATATCTGCACGTATTCCTGTATGGATGTATATACATTTATATGCATCTACATATATATATATATGTATATATATATATATATATATATATATATATATATATAT